AGATAAACGTGGAAAACTTTCCAACTTGTGCATGATGTGACTGAATTTTGTCCAGCAGTGGACACTAAAACAAGAATTAAATTGGTTAATTTTTAATATTTCTCATCATAATATTTGTAAATCAAATGGTATGGACTACTACACCCACTGTGATCAAGGATTAGAGTGATCAGGAATCCTATTTTACATGGATCCATACAGCATACCCATCGCTTGTCTTCCACATCACTCATAATGAGATGGTGTCTACATTTTGATTGGCTTCACTAAACATTAGTTAATATTTACATATTTTAAAAAATGTGTTTTTAATTAATCAAAATAATTAAATCTTTCCCCAACTCCTTCCTGTAATGAGTTTCTTTTACAAATGATCATGCAGTTTTGCATAGATGGGTCAGTTCATGATGGATGCAGATTAGGCTTAATTATTTTTGGTCTGATGGGCTAGATCTTTAACCACAGCTGTTCTGTGTGGCATCCTTTGCTCTCACCTGTCTAGCGTGACTCCGTGAGCTGTCTGTCCTAATCTCTCCTTCCTCGTGCCTCCACCTGCAGGCTCTGTCAGCCCAGCAGGACCTGGAGAAAACCAAGGAGGAGCTGAAGACCGCCATGACGGTGGTGCCAGCGCCTCCGGGCGGTCATGCTGAGAACGAGCACGATGAACACGACGAGAACCACGCAGAGGCCAGCGCCGAGCTCTCCAATGAGGGCGTCAGCCATGTTGACCTCCGCAGCGAAGAGGCTCGCGTCACTGAAGCACAGAAGAATGAGAGGGTCAAGCAGCAGCTGCAGGTAGGAGCAAGAAGTGAAAACCTTTAGAGCAGGGTTAAAATGACAACCCGTTGTTCAGATTTAGCCTCCACAAGAAGCCTGATATTACTCTTTATCAAAACTAGTCCTATATAAAGAAATTGCACCACTGTGGTGTGCATCTTGCGCTGAAATGAAGTCTAAAGCCAGAAATTGCCAGATTAATTTTAGAACAAACTTATATATATACAAAATAAGCTTTAGTTTCATGTAACCAAAGGTTTGCGATACACAAACAGAAAATAATATCATCTCATTGTTATTTATAACAGCAGTTTTGTTGCAAAGAAGAAACACGGGCCAAGAAATGGCAGATAAGGGTAAGATGAGGCATACGTCTGTGTCCGTTCTTCTTTAAACTCCTGCTTGTCACAGGAGATGTGCTGGCTTATACTGCAGCCTGGCTTTAAAACAGACTTTCTAGAAATTAAGTAATCAGATGGATGATGTCCAACCTAATCATAGTTTTTATATTGTTAAGTAAATTCCAAAGACTGCTATAAAGCCTGGCTACTGCATAGGCCAGGACTAATACTGAAGCTAATGCAAGAAGAGTTAGAATAGTTTTACATAAAGAAAGGCAGGAACCTCACACCCAGGCCTGCACTTTGTATCGGCTTCCTCCAAAGATGACTGCTGAAGGAACAGACTTTGGTCCAGCCATTGCTGATCCCTGCTTGTGTGTTGTTTTCAATAAAGCAGAGACAAACACACTTTTGATTTAGTTGTCAGTAAAGACTAAAGATCGCACACAGAGAACCAAAAGCTAAAGATAAGTGGCTTTGTGTCAATCAGATGTTTAGTTTTGAAATGGAGCGTGATCCCGTTTTCCCTTCCGCACACGTCCTGTTTCGTTTGTCTTGTCTGCAACGTCTGTGCCGCCCTGATTATCAGACAGTTTTCTCTCCTCTTGGCTTTAATTTTTTTTTTTTTTTGGTCGCGTCTTCTCCTCCTGTTCTTTCGCCCTCCTCAACCTGTTATCCTCTCTTATCCTCTCTTCTCTTCTCACAGACATTGAGTTCAGAGTTGGCCGAAGCCAGAGACGACACCAAGAAGACCCAGAACGACGTGCTGCACGCCGAGAACGTGAAAGCAGGCCGAGACAAATACAAAACTCTGCGGCAGATCCGCCAGGGCAACACGAAGCAGCGCATCGACGAGTTCGAGTCTATGTGAGAACAGCACCTCAGGGTTACCCCGCTCTCCTTAACGGCTGCTTTTTTTTTTTTTTTGATTTTTTTTCTTCATGGACAACTGACGCTTCCGTCCTCGTAAGCCTATCGAGTCTCCCTCAACACCCCCCCCCAACACCCAGGCTGTCTCAAGAAATCATCTTATCCAATTTTGCCAAAGTCCTGCTCCACCTCCTTATCTGAGTTTGGATTTCACCCTGATGTGGAGCTGCATACACGCCACTCTGAACAAGCAAATTATCGTGTTGGAGAGATCATCAGTACCTCTTACTCGAATGGGGGAAGTGAAACTGTAAAAACCAAAAATGGAAGCAATTGGATTTTTTTTTTTTTTTTAATTTTGGGTAAACATGGCCATAGAGCGATTTTGTTGTTGTTGTTTTTTCTTCTTTTGCTTGAAAACTTTGTATGCAAAGCTTTAGTATGATTCTTTGTTAAAAGATTTTCTGTCCTCTTCTTGTTTTTACGTTTCTTCCCTCTGCTTTTGTTTGACTCGTTTTATTGATGATGCCCATCTTTTTAGTTGTCTGAGGCCGGATTTAACCCCAGGTTTACAAATAAGGACTGGAGTTTAGGGACAAATTAGGTCATTGTTTTCATTCGGTGTCAAAGCACTTCTATATTAGCATGTCGAAGCATATCACCTGGTAGATGTGCTAACACTCTCACCATCTCTAAGTCATTAGAGAGAATTTAACTCTACTTACTAAAGTCAAACTATAGTTTAAACATGACATTTATAGATTTATACAAAAAAAAGATAACACTGCAGTATTTTAATAGTGTCATTACAGGCTAAAATCAATAATTGCAATTTTTGATATAAGATATTTCTGTGAATAAAATTGAACTGACCCTCGTAGGGGAAAGAGCCACCCAACTTGTCACATGGCAGGTTTTGACGAACGAATGTAGCAAAGGTAACAAAGGGAAAAACAAAATGTTTTTCTTTAAATTTACAGAAGTCATAGGATATCAACTTGTGCCACTTTGAGCTCTCGCCCTCAAGCTTAAAAGTATTGTGAAGATAAGCTAATTGGTAGTGTAGGAGTTGCGTCCCAGTGTTTCATTCCCAGTCACCATAGATGGTTTTCTCTGCCTGCCAGCTCACAGAGGATCCCAGGCACCAAAAATAAGGACGGGCAGAGGAACCGCACTGCATCAGAGCCTTTTCTCCGCCTGTCCAATGGGGTGTGTGTGTGTGTGTGTGTCTGTGTGTTCAGCTATGGAAGCTGAGGCCTGGCACCTCTCTGGCTGGGGAGCTTATGAAAACATCTGTCTCAGTTCGGGACAAATCTCTACCTCAGTAATAATAACAGTGGTGACTGACAGTCAAACACTTAGGATGCTCCCTCCCTCCCAAAATAAAATGAGAAAAAAATGAACAAAAATGATTTTACTTGGTTACTGTTACATTTTGCGGCATTGCTCCCGGGCAGGCTACGTGTTGTCAGTTACTTTCTGGCTGTATTTTGGTTACGATTGCTTGAAAATATTGAGGATTCATGTGAAATCTGGTTAGAAAAGTGTTATTTTTTACATATCAAGCTAGTTTTACACAGCAGTTTCTCCTGGCCTTGCTCAGATGTTTGTTTGGTTTTTTTAAATTGCTTTTCGTTTCCCCCCCAAAAAAAACTCCCAAAAAATGAGGAAGATGAGTGAACAAATGCTGCTGATAAAGGTGTGCTCTGTGCAGAGCGTTGGTCAGTCTGCCAGGGTCCATTGAAGCATTCAGGGTCTTCTTAGAAGCGGCGAGCGATGGTGGGCTCGGTCCACAGAACCACTCTGAACTCCAGAGGTTTTAAAAGGCTCTCGTGAGTTAAAGAAGCCCAAAATGTTGACTTCAAGGAGGCAGTTTCAGGATGTGCAGCAGAATAATGGGACTGAGAGATGATTTACTGGAAGCTCTTAATGCAAACAGACCTCGCTATCATGACTCATGGAATTCAAGTAGAGGGTAGGTCAAAAGTTCCCTAAAATCTTTCAATTCATATCCAACGTAAGACAACAAATGGAGTCCACCTTTTGTGGTGTGGGAAACATGTTCCAGGGTGCATTTTTGAAATGAGTAAACATTAATTTTATTTTGTTTTTGTTCTTTTTTTATTAACAATATGATGAATATGTTTATAGTATGTTATTGCTATACTTGACAGCTGGTGTAGGTAGTTTTTTGGAGGGGTTTGTTTTTTTTTGTTTTTTTAATGCCCTGGAGTTTTGACGGTAACACATTTGTATGACATAAGCCTGTCTTTTGTGTTTAACTTCAGTGTCCGTTGTTACTATTGTTTGCCATAGCAGGTGAAAGAAATGATCCTGCGCTTCCAGCCCTTTTTTTTTTTTTTTTTTGTAATGTGTTCAAAGACCGTAAAGCAGCAGCACGCATCGCGTATTGGCCAGCTTCACTGGAGGGGAAAACTCTTGCTGACATATCTCCCCCCCCTCCCCTCCACATCGATGCTACAAGGCTTCAGTTTGACTGTTTTTCTTCACAGCAGCAGTTATTGGCGCATCTGTCCCCTCCAATGAAGCCGGTGTCTGTGATGACGCCTGCTCTGGCACCAGCTGTCATGTTTTGCTTTGCTTTTGTTTTGGTGTCCTCCCCCTCCTCCTCATCCTTCCTCATCCTATTGTTCATGTTAGTACTCCGTAAGATGGAAGGCACAAGTGGATTTTGGTCTATTTCATTGATTCACAAATAAAAGTTTTAAATTTTCAGCATGTGTTTTGGTCACTTTGCATACTTGTGATTATATACAGTGGCACACTTGGATCAGATCAATTATTTTTAGTTGCAGTGGTAATTATGTGACATTCATTAACATGATTTGAAATACAAAGTACTATAATTACTTTCTCTAGGGAGTAATTAAGTAATGTACTCGTTACTTTTTTTTAAAAAGTTCAGACTACTGTGTAATACAATACTTTTTCTGAGTAACAACCCAACAGTGGTGCTATAAAACACTTAAAACGACCCTCTGACTCACCATCTTTTATAGCAGTACTCTCTTTAATGAATAATCACAGTTACAGCAGAAAGTGTTATAATATTGAAGTACTTGGTATTTACATTGTGCCAGTAGAATACTATGTAAAATAATAGGTTTTTATCCAGTAAGAGTTATGATATCCGCAAGTCAGCATATTGCTATATATGGCTGAGTGCACTTCCAAAGGAAACAACAGTTGGAGAAAAATGGGACGTCATCCATCACAGGCTTCTTCATCCCAACAAGTAAATATCCAGTGTTGTAGAAATCAAGACCGGACAATAAGTGAAAAATTCACACACCAAAAAGACAAAAAGCTTGTTATGTGTACAGTTAAACCTAAAAACAACACTTAAACAACAACTAGCATTACATCACAATACCGGCAAGACACGCCTCTCAGGAACACGGATATGTACATAAATTAAACAAGAACACATGCAGAAACTAAACAAATCAAAAACATGCATAAAAGTTTGCTGAACATAGTTCAGATTATTGGATGTGTCATAAGCACAATGCCACGAAGAGGCATTACTTTGGGCCCACCCTCAGGTGCCACGCTGACACACAGTGCCAGGAGGCCAGAGAGAAGGCGCTTCTTCAATACACACAGAGGTTCTCTCTCATCAACAGCATGTGTTGGACAAGAAAGAAACCAGTGGGCTATATGTAGCTGGCTTGTGATTAATGGTACGATGAGCTCAAGTGCTAGACTTTTACTTCCTCGGTGGCCATTTTGAACTTTACAGTTTAGGGCCTCCAGTCGACAGAAAACAACCAAACTTGTGTTCTGAAGAACTCCAACAACATTAACATTGAAAGGAAAATAAAAAATATAAAGTCGGTGAACATTTTACTTAATGCTGCATCCTACTGTTAGAAGTATGTCTTCCTCAATAGTCCCACAGGCAGGTAGCATCTTGAACGCATAGAAAAAAGTGTTAGCATTAGCTAAGGAAGTGCTCGGGTTGCCAAGGCAGCTGTAATTTAACCTCCAAATGCTGAAACTGAAATATTGTCTTCATTTGTTGAGCTATCAGGCAGTAATGCACTGAGGCTAAAGGAGTTTTAATATTTTGTATTAAAATATCAGACAGAAGTTTTCAACATTTGACTACTAGAAAGCAGCTAGCAGCTTAGCTCGCTAACCTTTGCTAAATTTGTTTTATATTGTTGTTATTTCAACTCAGGAAAAAAAAAGGCGACCTTTTTATGCTTTTCCTTATACTCTGCCATACATAAACACTGCTACAATGTTGACTGCAATTAAACATGATCAAAGTTTTTGATCCAGGCCTCAGGTTGCTCCCGATGCTTGATTTTTTTAAAAAAAATAAAATAAAATAAAATTTTTTTACTTTTCTGCTGAGCTGACGTCAACTCTGGAAGATGTCCTAATATGGTCAAGCACTGGGTTCTGTTTCCCAAAGTCTGATGAGAGCTAGCCAATCAGAACAAAGTAGCCTTTTAGGGAGAAGGAGCCTCAAAGAGCTGGGAGCAAAAATGTCTATACGATCTAGAATGAACTGTATGGATAGTTTTTTTGTTTTATTGTTGTTGTTTTTTAAGAACTACAAATCATGCAAAGCTACTCTAGTAGACTCCCATAATAAAAATTCATTACTGGAAATTCGCATAAAAGGTCCCCTTTAATAGAGACAATAAATTGATTTCTGAAAAAACGTCAATTTTATGTTATTTAAAGCATAATTTAACATTATATCCTGACTTAAAGAAGAGGCTAAAAAATCCTAACATGAACTGGCCCAAACCTCACGCTGAAACCTAAACCTTTTCTTATTTTCCGATGAGTACCCAGCAAGTATTTGTTAACCAGAGCTCCTGTATAAAAAAACAAAACAAAACAATAAGCCAGCTTTAAACCCAAAAGGTAACGAAGCTGCGACACCTAAACATAGTAGGCACCCAACTCCTTTTGAATAAAATATATTTGAAATAATTGTCTCAAAGCTATTTCCACAAGATTAAAAGTTGGAACATTTTGATTGGAACAAAAGTTTTGTCACTGCACTTTTATCATACAGCAATACATCAAGAGTGTTTGATAGATACGGATCATCGAGTCCATGTACTGTATATAACATCAGCGACTTAGTTAATGATACAATTTGTATCAAACAAGGTTTTCTCTGTCAAGCATGGATTCAGCTGGGATCTGCTACAGACGACAGTACACGCTGTTAGCCAAAAGCACAGCAGAGGGATCTGATAAATATATTTACAATATGTACATGGTTTATTTACCGGTGGCCGGATGTTCTGTCTGTAGCAGATACCAGAGTTGACCCAAAAGAAAGGGCCAGAGAGAAAGAGCGAGAGAGATGTCCCTTACTAAAACTAAGGTACACACGACAGGGTCACCCATCTCTGCAGCTACAACTCTGACCAAAAAACTGACGTCATCTCAAATAAGATGACCATCTTCCCGTGTTTACCAACATGGGAACAAAAATCCACAAACACCCCCCACACACACTCACACACACACATAAATCCATGGAACAGACCTTGGACAAACAGAAGTTTGAAACCACTGAGTGATAACTGAGTACCCGATGACAGTTGACAGTTGGTCCATGTGGTGGCTCCGTTTGACTCAGTGTACAATACACATAATGTGTGTTTATGTATAAATAACTCTTAAATTCAATCACATTTTCGATGTATTTCTGTGAAACCAACTCACCAGATTATGGTTTGGGTGTAAAACCAAAGGTGCCCTTGTATAAACGTCCTGTATGCAAAGCTACAGTACAGTTAAAAACAACAGCTGGGGGTCGGGGTCTAGAACAAATCTCCATTTGTCGCAGGTTAAGTCAAAATCACAGACTTCGTCCAGTGTCTCGCTCTCTTTCCACACCTGGTAAAAGTTGTTGCTGCACAGTGACCAGACCTGGATTTGGATTATCTTCAGCTTTTTATGTCCTGGAGACTTTTGCATTGTTCGATTATTAATATAAGAAATGAAACGGCTCTCCTCACAGACAATCTGAAAGCGTAATCCCAGCAATGTGAGGACGGCTGTGTTTCAGGTGGTAGAGCAGGTCGTCTACCAATCAGAAGTCTGAGGGAGTGAGAAAGCACTTTGAGTGCTTAAATTGAGTAGAAAGGCGCACTGCAAGTACCAGTCCATTTACCAGTGTTGCTATGCGAAGCAGTTACTTAGCTCGTCTTTACCTTCCCTCCTCAGTAGCCTGTTTGGGCTTTTTCTGCAAGGATGGCAGCCGCCAGCTGCTGGGGGTCTGTGATGTGGGGGCTTCTGGCCATAACCCGGCTTACCAGCTCTGAGGGGAAGATGTTGCACAGGTTTATGTACACTTTCTCCCTCGCATCGCCGTAGCGACTGTGCGAAGGGGATTCTGGGTGCTGTGACATGTAGGAGGGAGGGGCATGAGACGGCACGGTAAGGTGAGAGCTGTGAGGTGGGTACGGCGGGAGAGGGGTGCTGGATGGATGAGGCGGGCAAGGAGAGTGGGCTGGGGGCGGTGGGTGGCTGAGGTAATGAGTTGGGGATGGGTGGAGAGCTGGGTGAGAGGAGTGATGCTGGCCGTAGCCGTCTTGTGTCCATGGAGGAGTGTGCCAGGACGACTGGCGTGTGTCTGGCAGGCTTTGGTAGGTAGGCAGCTCGTATCTGGATGGCGGCAGCGGTGGCTGCCTGTAGTACTTGTCCCAGCTGGGCAGGGCTTTTGGTCGGTGGCGATGGTGTGATGTGGAGAGGTGTTCGTACAGGTGTGAGTCGGACACACTTTCTGCTCGCGTCGGGGCCAGGCAGCGGCCAAGGGGTGAGCCAGGGGGTGCGGGATTGGACTGCGGCAGAGAGTGGTAGTCGCCTGGGCAGCTGGACCGTGCGGTCAGCGGTTGGTGCTGGAGATGAGGGGGCAGGGGGTAGAGGGGCCGCTTTGGGGGAGCCTCTAGTGGAGGCGGATCATGAGCGCAGCTCTGCCCGCGTGCGGCGCTCAGGTGGTAAGGGTGTAGTCCTGTGCTCGGCGTGTGGCTGTGCTGAATGTTTGTGTATTCGGCAGGATGCAGGCCGCAAAGTTCATGGCTAGGTGTGGCATGATGGGAGTACAGTCGGCTGTGGGGATTAGGAAAATGGACAGCGTCTTCCAGTAAGGGGTCCGGGGGGCATCCGGGACACTGCCTCTCGCCGTACGAGTCGCAGCTGCTGCCGCAACTGACGCTGCTTTCGCTGCTGCACTCGGAGCCGGCTGAGCCCAGCCGCAGGTCTGTGTCATTGGGGAAGCGACAGTCTGGGCTCCGTCTGGAGGAGAGGCTCAGGCCAGTGTAAGCACGTGTTACTGAATAGTAGCTTAAGTCTGGAGACTCACAGTGAGGGTAAAGGTCATGGCTGGGGGCTGGTAAGTGACCATGAGCCATCACTGGTCTCGCTTGCTGCTCTTGTGGGAGGCCAAGAGTGGATGGTGGGCCTCCTGGGGCCGGGGACATGCTTATACTCCCACCGCAGCTACCGCTAGTGGAGCTGCTACTGCTGCTGCCACACACAATATTCTTCTGCACCTCCAGCCTCCCTTTGGCCAGCAGCTTCTCTTCGGCGTCGCTGTATGACAGAGCTCGGATGCTGGGGTCCGACTGCCTTTTCGGGACGCCTTTCTTGGCGTCGATGCTGCCAGCTGGCACGCTGTGGCTCTTCACCAGCCCGGCGTCGCCCTGGTTCTTTGAGACGACGCAAGTCTTGGCGCTGGCACGCAGCTCATCAGCCACGGCACGCTGTGGTTGGGCGCCTCGCTCCGGGTGGTAGTACTTACATTTGTGACCGTAAGTACACTTCTTTCCTGAAGCAAAGAGACACAACGTGCGCTTCAGTAAACAAGCAAACACACAGAGTGGGCAGAGAAAGGGGAGCTCATTTACTAACTGCACGACATCATCACCGCTCTGTCCACTTCACCTCCTGGTAAATATACAGATCCAGAGAAATATAGAGAAATGGGGGTGTGGCAGTATGCCAACTGATTTAGATTTAGCAGCATACGCACAGAGGTGAGAAACAAATGGGCTGGTGCACACGTCATAAATCTGACGATAGCTTTCTGCAGGATAAGAAAGTCTCCACTAACGCATTTGCAAATGAGGTCCAATGTCACCACACATGTGAGAGAGATTCTAATCCAATATAAATATTACATTGTTCTTAAAAAGCACAAAATGTTTCATGTGCGTTATTTCGACGTGTATTTCGTGACTTTCTTCTCACCGTATGGACAAGGCTGCTTCTTCTGCTCAGGCATGACGGGCCTTTTTCTCAGGAAGTTGTCTAAGCTCGGTCCGTGACGACCAAGAGGGTCATCTGGCGGCATGAATCTGCAAGATTAGAAAGGATGACAGCATTAATTCGCTATTAGAGGAAATACGATGGTGTCCATCCACATTCTTTAAAGCTGCTTCAAGTGTGGAAGCTTTAAAGGAGGCACACAGAATATAATTGATTCCCCACATTTAGCAAAGTGAAAAATGCCTTCTTTATAGCAGAGTGTGAGATTTTATTTGTAAATAAACTTTATTTATTTAAACATCACTCTGATTCAAAGATAAGAGCTATAAATGTCCTCATAACATCCTCCCCTACTCACTTATCATTGACAAAGGAATACATGAGAAGCCGCTCATCTATGAACTTCTTCCACTCGGGCTTCTCGTTAGCCAGGTCTCTGTAGTTGTCGTTGGAGACGATAATGCCGTCTGACTCATAGGCCAGCTTGACAATGAAGCGGTCGTCGTAGCAGACCACGCGTCGACCTTGGACACGCCGTGAAGGCGTGAACACCAGGATTTTTTCCTTCTCTAGGCGACGTAAGATGTCCTGATCTGTGAAGGAAAGGATTATAGTAAGGCTGGGGGGAAATGCAGTGCTAGAAAACCATTATTACCTATTTTGGATCTTTAGCCCTGTGAGGCCCTGCTGATGTGTTCGGGGCCTATCACCCCACAACCCTAAGGTGGATAAGCAGTTAAGAAAATGGATTTTAGTCAAACCGCGTCTTCTACTGACCTGTTATAGGGGCATCGGGTCGGGACTGCTCTTTCCGCCACGCAGGCACAAAAACTGTGATGTCTTGATGGCCGCGCTCGAGGAACCAATCTACAGCCAGCTGGATGCCCTGACAGGAAAACACTTCCTTGTTGCCATGGCTGTGAAAACGGTGAAAAGGTAAAAGCGTAAATAAACATTTATGATTTTAATGTGTTTCTTTACTGCAGTTTCCACTGACAAACATATATACATATATAATAATAGAGCTCACCTCATGGCTACATTGCTGCCATCTATCACGACTGGCCGCAGGTTGTCCTGGTCACACAAAGAGTCTGAATGACAGGGTGAGTCTGGCCTCTGGCCTTCCAGCAAATCAGAACATCCACAGGAGGATGAGGAAGATGAAGAGGATGAGGTAGAGGCTAATAATCCAGCCGGCTGCTCACTGTCTGACTTGGTGCCCAGCTTGACCAGCTCTCCCAGTATGTCATTGATTAGGGTGTCGGGGCCGAGCTTAGACAGCACCAGTCGCACCGTCTCCTCGGAGTAGCCGAGTTTGAGGGCAAACTCGAGCTTAGCCTGGTACTCTTTCCCACCAGCCTCATAGCCAGGCTCTGAAGCAGACAGACTGGGTGGAGGTTCAGGCAGGTGCTCGGATGGGGAGCCGAGTGTGGACTGGGCATGGGCGTCACATTCAAGCTCTGCTAGAAGTTCAGATGGGGGCTCGGGAGGGCCTTCGGTGCCTAAGTCCACACACTGGGTCCGGCAGAGGGGCTGGTGGGTGTTCTTACTGTGAGTCGACCCTCCATCTCCTCCGTCCGAGTCGGTACCTGGAGCGAGGGTGGAGCTGGAGGTCAACGCTGACTCGCCCTCTGCGTCGGACCCACTGTTTTCCTCTAGGACGGTCAGTGGAGGGGAGCCAGCGGTGCTCTCCCCCTGCTCCTCCATAGCAGGGGGCCCGTCAGCGCCGCCAGCCTGCCGGTCACCCCCCGCTACGTGTAGATACTCCAAATCCAGCCCCAGGTCGAGGATATGGCCTGAACCTGCCTCCACATGGTCCTTCTGACCCATGGGTCTGTCACAGACATCCAGCACACTGGGCTGACTGCTGCCCACTCACAAAACTTGACTCATTGGTGCCTAAAGGAAGAAAGGTGGAGCGAGTGAGTAAACTGTAAAAAAAGATAAAAGATGGATTTAGCTGTCAAACTGTGCCCAATGTAGTCAAATCATGGCTCCTGGATTTGACTACATTTGACTGGCGTTGGTTCATATTTTTAATTTTATAGTCCGCATGACTGTCAGACGACTCCATGCAGCTAAGATAAACTAACACAAGCAAACCCACTTTGGAAGCTGACTGAAACTAAGGGAATTTAAAAAAATGAAGACAAAGTAAATAAAATAATAATAATAATACTAACGTCTAATAACTCTGACACCAGTTAGAAGAAGCATTTAAAGACGGGAAACAAAAGAAAACATCACTTTCTTCTCAGCTAATGATACACACACTGGTACTCAAATGCAAATGTGTCATTTATATTACATATATATATATATGATGCGATGGCACAAAGGCCAACAGGGAAATTGGGTAAATCCCTACTTAAACGTATACGTGGGTAAAAACCCTGGCTGAAAAGTGTAGCGTTTGCTACCACAGCAGTTCCACTGAAATTCCAGGGAGAAATCATTTGCATCCAGGCTGTGTGATAATGGTAATCTAAAGTCAATACTGACTGTCATTTTATGGAAATCTGATTTTACACAGTGTTGGATCCATCTGTTCTGCCCAAAAAACAGAAAAAGAAAAAAAAAACAATCTGACTGGCTGCGCGTCAGGCACAGGCTGGCAGACACAAAGAGCTGATGGGGCCTCTATCCCTAATTAATGGACTCCCGCGTTTTTTCATGTCTGGCCCAGTGTGTGTGTGTTTTTTAATAGCACCACGCCACAGCACATTAATCTATTGGGGGGGCCAGAGGGTGAACTAGGGCGGTTGGACTATTCTCCCTCCTCATTCTACCTGGTAATTAAGGCCCATATGCTTCTTCCCACCGGGGTCACTCGTTAAAACATTGAAGGCTATGAAGTCAATCGGGCCGTTGTATTCGAGCATCAGGTCTGAGGTTAGACTAGTCTGATCTGTAATAAAGGTTTAATAAAGGTTTAGAGGTTTGTAATAAAGGAAAAGTTAATCTGAGAAAACGAAATTAGAGACATTCGACTAATCCTGAGGTGAAATCTCCAAAAATGCTTTTAGAAGTGAAAAATGAACTTTTTAAAGTCTTATTTGGGACAAAGTTGGCTTTTTAATTTTTTTTTTTTATTAGATTTGACCCTAAATATGCAGCTTGATGTATTCTGACTGGACTCTACTTTGAAGTTTAAAATCTTCGCACCTACAAAATTTAACATTTTTCCTGACGACAAGCAGGGCAGAGCAAATGATGAAAATGGGGAAGTGACTTAAAGCTGTTGGTAGAACGGGGAGGATCGGTTAGACAAGGGGTGGAGTGAGTGTGCATTTTATGAAAAAGGGCTGCCTAGCAACGTGGCTGAGCTACTGTTGCTAAGCTACAGCTGTTGAAAGCATTCTCCCATCCAAATGCCAAGACAGAGGCTGCAGCGTTCAGCCGGCGACCCGCCTTAATTCACACATGTTACAAAAAGGTCTGCTGCAGGAGGGGGCAGAGGGGCTTAAGTGTGCCTCACTGGTAACCCACCAAGACAACAATAGACCCACAGCACTGATTAGGACTGGGACCTTGGCATTAGCTGCTGTGGGTGTTGATGGTGCCCTGTGATGCACACACAAACACACTAACGACCCAAGGTGACTCATAATGCTGTGGAGAGAGTGGGACTGAGTTTGCAGCTCATCAGCTAGACTGATGATCTTCTCTCAGGCTTAACAATCAGCTAATCTAAAGCGCGAGCATCACATCAGCACTGCATAACTTCAGACAGTCTGGTCAGCCGCGCCAACACTAACAGATCCAGCTAAAGCGAAACTGTGAATGACAGCAGCAGAATAACAACAATATTAGAAAACATTCAACATTTGACTGTGTCGCTACAAGAAAAATACGAGTACACTCTAAAAAGATCTCACAGCGGACAGTTTGGAGTCGATAAAGGCATTTTGAATAGATTTATCGGGTTTGGGCTCTAGCAGTCCACCTAAGTTTTTACTCTTGAAGTCTCTTTTTTTCCTTATTTACCACTATTATATCTCCACATGAATCAAAAGCTGACAAATAATTCATAGCCTTAAAGAGGGTAATTAAGAGCAATCACTATATTTAATAGTCTATCTACAGATATCTGTAGAGGTTAGGAAATCCTCAGCCCATACAGATAATAATAGTTTAGTGGATAGCTGATATTTTACATTTGTTCATTTTGTTGTTGCAGTTTAATTTCTTTCACCCTTCTGGATCAGAGAAACAAATAATTCTTGGTTCTAATAAACAACTGAACAGCTTTAAAAGGTCTCCTGGTCTTCGTCATATTATTGTGCAAAGTAGTGTTTGCCTCAGTGGAAAGTTGATATGACACAACAGATAAATACCATCCTGTTTTATACAGTTTTCAGGTATCAGACAATGTTCTCCGTACTGAAAGCTTTCTGGTTACTGCTCGACTGTAATCCAAGTTCTACTAAACAATCACATCTGGTAGATCTTGTGGCCATTTGGAAACAATGACAAGTGATCAGAACACAGATATCCACCACCTACACCAGTAGCCCTGAATCACTGGCTCCCCAGAGGATAAGCCAGCAGGCCAGCTGATGGGCTCCCATACTGCATATAG